AGGATGCCCGAAAGGAGTTTTGTGGTTGTGTTGAAATGTGTTTCGGGTATCGTGCATCAACGCGAAGCCCTATAGAGAGCAGGGGTGGGAGGGAAAAATCGCAGAGCACCTATAGTTGAAAGCTTGTAGTTTCGTGGAGCTGGTACCACTGCGACTGAGATCAAGATCGGAGCACAGCATGAAGTGTTGAACGCTTGCAGCTTTCTTGCTTCTCCTCTTGCGGCGCTCTTATCCCCAAGCCTCTACCTCGCCCAACTGGACATACTCACATCGTTCTCCCCCAGAGCGTTCACTTGGTCCTTCTTGGTATGATCAGAACTACACAGTCCCTATGCCCTGCTCAGGACTAGAAAAATTGCCTCCAGACCCTGATGCTAATGATGCACTACTCCGCGTCCATTGCATCACTCGCATCACCAGACCCCATTTTCACTGCTTTTCTGACCCTCGCTTTGGAGCGCTCTCCCCCACCAAGCTCCGGGTTCACCCTCTCAAAAGGTGCCTTTTCGCGCCCTCCCCCCCACACCCCCTTAACTCACTTCGTTCGCTCTAAGAGCTCAAGCCTAGCCTATCGGCTGGCTTTCGTAATATACTGTATATTTACGTACATATATATATATATACAACAATATTTTTGTGCATCCACAGAACCACTCCAGCAAACATGACTGGCCAAAACGCAAGACAGCTGAAAACTCGTTCCGAAGCGATCCCAACATTCGGTGGTTGTTACCTTTGCAAAACCGTCCCGAGACTAGCCCGTCCCACAGACATCGCAGTGCTTTGGCTTGAAGAATTTAGCAGAAGTGCCCAGGACAAGGTTACTTCATACTTCTAAGTGATGTTGGGTCCTCTGTAACTTTCCAAAAACAATTTTGGACACCATGTTTGTTTTAAAGGTCCTCTATTGCTATTTTTTGTGATCCTAATTTATTAACTAAAAATAATTCGGGTTTCCAATCCTTTGGAGACCTGCGAATATTAAGTCCATGACTGGCCTGCTGAAATCATTGGTAGATATAGGTTTCTCTAGTTCTTCTTCAAAACTGACAGCTTCCCATCTTTTATGTAAAGATTGCTTCTAAACAAATGTTCAAGGTAGTAGACCGGGAAGGCCCCTGATCCGCAATACTAAACTTGTTTTGAGGGCCCTCAGTTGTGCAAAGCTTTTTTCTGAATAAAACAAGATTGCAATTCTGCAGCCTCTAAGCCAATGGCTGGCTTGCTGAGAGCATTGATAAGTATAGGTTTCTCTAGTTCTTCAAAGCCGCAGAGAAAGTGAGAACCTTCTTTGTCCTCTTCTTAGTAGTATGAAAGGGTTGCTGAGAATATCTAACTACAAGGAACATGAGAAAGGAAAATAAATACTACCATCAATTACAAAAGGAATCCTCCCAGGAGCCCAGATTTGTTTTGTGGGTAGTTTACTATAGAGGACATTCCAATTGTTAGAGGGGGGAAAGCCCTCTTATCCGCCGACCCCTGCTTTGGCGAAGGCAGGGGCGGCGCCTGGGACCACCGAAGGTGTGGAACCTGAGCTCTCCAAATCCTTGCTTTTCTGGGCCCGAAAGCAAACGCGCCAAAACTTCGCACTTGCTAGACTGTGGGCTCTGGGCTCTGTGCCAGACTGTGGGCGGAGTGGCGCAGACTGTGGGCTCGGGGCTCTGGCGCGCCAAATCCTTTTTTTCTAGTGGCCCGAAACTGCCCTTCAAGCCCCTCAAAACTTGCCAATGGTTCTGCCATACTGGTTGCGCAGACTGTGGGCTCGGGGCTCTGGCGCGCCAAAGCCCCTCGAAACTTGCCAATGGTTCTGCCATACTGGCCGTTGGAGCAGCCAGCTTCTGGATTCTGGACGCTCCAGACGCTCCAAAACCTCGCACTTGCTAGACTGTGGGCTCTGGGCTCTGTGCGAGACTGTGGGCGGAGTTGCGCACTATTAATTAGGATCCAAGATTAGTTCAAATGTTCAATAAATATTCTAAGTTAAGCTTTCCTGCTCTGAATTTAGGATGCATTGAACCAGCACTTACAGTGGTAGTTAGAACCTCTGGTAGCACTTCGAACCTGGGCTGCGATAAGGCCGCAAGCAGCTTTCCGAACTTGCAGAATATGAAACCGAAGGGTTCCCCGTTCTCAGTTACAGTTTTCACACCTTTGGCAAAAATACACAACACTATTAAACAACACTCATTGCATCCGTGTCCCCCGTCCCCCGCAAAAAAGAAACAAATACATAAGCTGATCAGCACTCAATTGTGCGAATCTGGGATGTCAAATCTTGACAAGATTCAAAAACAAAAACATACCTAAATATATAAATAGATACAATAATTGATAAATCCAAACACTCAGGAAACAAACGTAACTATTGGCCTTTAAATCGGAAGGAATGCAACGCTTTGCCAACCAACTAAGGACATCTACTGTAATAAGCAAATTATGGCAAATTGCACTCTGAAACCATCGCAATTGCCATTGCAATGCGTTCGCAATGAGTTCCCGTTATGTAATTACTCGTTCTAGATTCTAGACGAATTCAGTCTCCTTTGGCGTCAATGATCTTCGCAGCTTTGGGGCTCCCAACAATCTCAATAACACCTGCAAATACTCCAATCAGATCAGAAAGTAACCAATATGCAAACGAGGGAAACGCCGACGTAGAAGACGACACATAAACAATGCATAAGTTATATTGAAAACAACGATGATCCCATGCCGAAGAGTATGACCGACCAGATGCATCAAGAGAATCTGGAAAAGGGCCCAAGTGTCTGTCTTCGTGCCTGTGCCAGGACGGGCAAAAAGGATGTTTGCAATTGCGCCGCCATGCGCCCCCATGATCAAAGCAGACTTCCGAACCTGGCAAACAGAATCAATGAAGTCAATCTGCAAGCACGGCATATCATAGAAAACTCAGGTGGCCAACTCGTCAAGAATCGTTTGTGATATTTTGTGAAGGCGTACGCAGACTCGTTGTTCGCAAATCTGCCCGAAAGCTGTTTTGACTTGGGAGTGCATGACTCAACGAAAAAGACTGGCTGGATATTTGATGCATGTTACTAGTAGCAAGAATGCTACTAGTAGTAACTAGTAGAGTCCTTGCAACTAGTAGCTTCTTGCTTCTAGTTCCTCTTGTGGTGCACTTCTCCTGGCCTGGGAAACCTGCTCCAGCCACGTCAGCCGACCTAGACGACCGCTGCGAAGTGCCAGTGAGTCTACAGTAGCTGCACAAACTCTCCAGCTGAACCCATCAGGTTCCTTTACATATCCTACCTGCACACAGTGACATGAGCCCCTCAGAGCGGTTTGATGCGATCAATGCCTCAGCTCACGTGAGTGGCTCCTTCTTTTCACCACCACTGAAAACCGCCAGTTTTTGTTCGTTCCCAACTTCTCAATGAATCCTGGCTGCTCTGCTTGTCAGTGCCAGTGCTTCTTGCTCATTTGCCAGGCGTCGTCTTACCACACAACGTTGGAGGAAAGTAATCTGTTGATTTCCCTCCAGGGCATCTTCCTCAAATGTTCAAGGTTCGGAGTGTTTTACTCCAAAGCATACGCTTAAAAAAGGCACAATTGAACACCTATGACAACACACAAATATTTATATACATATTGTCAGCATTTGTCAGTGTATATAAATCTTGAATACATTCAACATAATATACACACGGTGCGCATGGTTTGAAGCGGCTTGTCATGCACGTCAACGATAAGGTTCATGTCTCCCTCACTGATCACGCTGTCTGGAAAGCATGCAGCACGCACCGGGCCTATGACCAGTTCCCTAACCTTTATACACGTCTTGACTTTGAAGACTTTGCTCAGGTTCGAAGTTCAACTACATTATTTCCCAACGGTCAGATGAGATCAACACTCTGGCACTATGACCCAGGGACCCGTTGACTCCTTCAGAGGGCCACTCCGGGCAGGGAAGGAAAGGAAAGGCCTCAAGAAATTCTCCACCTCCAACAAGCTGTGGATCAAGACACTGAAGCCATCCTCACTTTTGCCGGGAGAGGATGGACATCCTTCTTCGAGATAAGTCACCCTTCTTGAGGAAGAAAGATGAGCCATGAGCTCAAGAACGTGTTCCCCTGATCCAGCAACAGAAGGCCCTCATTCAGGACATATTGGACGCCGGAACACCACGGTCATTCATGGACGGCTTTCCACAGTGGAGTTCAATGTGACCTATGCAAAGCGCAGTTTCACTCCAAGAGCCTTCTGGCGCAGCTGGGGGACACTCCCTGCAAACCCTGCACTGTGGCGCCCCGTGCCGCATCATCAAAGGCCACGCAGTAAGATCATCCATGATCTTTTGTCTCAGCAAACCTCCCCTCAACCTGGAGTTCATCACCTCAAGCTTGGCAAAGCCTACCTCCACTGCACTCTGAACATCCTCGCTTGAGCCGAAGACAACTTCAACCAGTTTGGCCATGTGACCGACATTGTTAGTACTAGGGGCTCCTGGCATCGCTACTAGGAGCAAGGACGCTACTAGGGGCTCCTGGCATCGCGGAGCAAGGATGCTACTAGGGGGACGCTACTAGGGGCTCCCGGCATC